GCAAGTACAGTATGCAGGGGATACTGGAAAAGCCTCGAGCCCAAATGGCTACGGACTCCTCCTCCTCCTCCTGCTCCGCCTCCTCCTCCTCCGCCTCCTCCTCCTCCATCTACCCTTCTCCATCTCCCTCCTCCTCCCTTTCCCTTTGTATCCTCCTTCACGTCCTCGTCCTCCTCCAAGTTCCCGTCCTCAACCTCCTCGTCCTGGTCAAATTCCTTCTAATATCTTCTAATCGTCCATCTTCTTCATACGTTCATCGTGCTGCTTCAGGGAACGCTGAGTAAGGTACAAAGGGGCTTTTCTCGCCACGGCGAGCCCGGGCCACGAATCGGTTTCCCGACCTAGGTCCAAGGATGGGCCCGAAATCCAGAGCCTCTCCTGAACCCAAAGCTGTCCATATGACAGCGTCTTGACTGTAACGCCTGTCGTCTTCCTCCGCCCACCTCCTCCACGGGCTGCTTGCCTCGTCTCTGCCTCTCTTCGCCTTCGAATCGAAGACGATGCAGACGGCGCCCACGGAGGCCGCACTGGCCTCACGCCGGCTTCGAATGGGTGGAGCCGCTGCTGCTGCTGCTGCTGCTGCTACACCTCCTCCTCCTCCTCCTCCTCCTCCTCCTCCTCCTCCTCGTCCTCCTCCTCCTCCTCCTCCTCACCCTCGCCGCCGCCGCCGCTCCCCTCCTCCTCCTCCTCCTCCTCTCCTTCCTCCTCCTCCTCCTCCTCCTCCTCCTCCTCCTCCTCCTCCTCCTCCTCCTCCTCCCTCCCCCCCTCCTCGGGCGGAGCCGCCGCGACACGCGAGCGCACGCACGCGGACACCACAAGCGAGAGAGGGCAACGATGCCCGCCACCGTGCCTCCCTGGCACGCGGAGGCCTCGCCCCCCCCCCCCCCTCACCCGCCGCTCGCCTGCATCGGCCCCCCCCCCCTCGCGTCGAGGCTCCCTGGTCGCCCCGACGTCTCCCTCGCGATCTCCAGGGCGTCCGGGATGCCCCGGGTGACTTCCGGGACGGCCCAGGCGGGCCACCCAGGGCCGCCAAGATGGCCCAGGATGCCTCCGGGACGGCCCAGGACGGCGCAGGGTGGCCTCGAGACGGCCGAAGAGAAGCTCTCAAGCTGGCCCAGAAAGAGGACCCCCAAGTAGGGCCCGAACAGACCCAAAGTATGTATTGCCTTGAACTTTAAACTCATGTTCGCGCTCTCACCTTGTTGGACTTCTGTCAGCCACACACTGCCCAGGAAGCCTCCCATTTGGCCCCAAGGGGGCCCAAGAAGCTCCAACAGGGCCTCAACACAGCCCAAGAGGCCATCAACATGGCCCAAGTTCAGGAGGCCCCATGATGGCCCAGACAGGCCCCCGAGCCGAACTCCGAAGGCACCAGACTGCACGAGAGCGCCCTAAGACGACCCAAGGAGCTCGCGAGAGTCCCCGAGAGACCCCTAAGAGATCTCCAAGAAGCCCCAGAGACGGCTAAGAGGGCCCCAAGATAGCCCAGAGGGACCCGCAAGAGTGCCCCGCAGGTGCCCAAGGCAGCTCCAAGACGGCCAGAATAAGCCCCATGAGAACTCCTCAAGAAGCCGAAACGAGAGGTGTCACATGTGAAGGCCTTCCAGGCGGCGAAAGAAGAATCGAAACACAGAATACTTCGCTGGCACGGTGGTGGATTCGCCGCACGCAGCTGCACACTTACCTATATGACCGCCTTACGAACGATGATCGGTGTGGGGGAGGTGACATCATACGTGGTTGCGGTGGACACGCACTAGAACGTACGAGCACATACAGGCATACATCCATGTATACGCATACATACTTACTTACTTACATGCATACATACATGCATACATACATTCATACACACATATACATGAAAGCATGCATGCATACATTCATACACATATACATACACACATACATGCATGCACGCATGCAATTATGCATGCATGCACACATACATACATGCATGCACAAACACATACACATACATACATACATACATGCATGCATGCCTGCATGCATACATACACACATGCATGCATGCATGCATACATGCATATATGCAGACATACATTCATCCATACATACATACACATGCATATGTAAATACATACATGCAGGCATGCATACATACATACACGAATGCATGCATACATATATACCTACGTACATACATACACACATATACACATACATACATACATATATGAATGCATACGCAAACACATACTAACATGCATCCATGCATATATGTATACATATATGCATGCATGTATACATGCATACATATATGCATACAAGCATACAGGCATGCGTACGTACCCTCATATCTTTCAAATTAACCATGCGGAAGCCCAACCCCCCGCCCCCGCGAAACGGGACCCCACGGATCCGTGGCCCCGGGGGGCCCCGGGGGGCCCCTGGAAGCCCCTGCAGGAGGCCCCCCAAGATTTCCGGAGCTCCTCGAGGCCCCTGCTGGGCCTGGGCAGCGAGCCCAGATCGGTCAGGAGGGCGGCCGAACGTTTTTTTTGACATCCACGTCACACCTCCACATCCTCGGGTAAGTCCGAGGGCCAGAGCCAGCAGCGGAGGGGGATGCTGGCTCCCAGGGCGGCCAAACGTCCCCCCGAGGGCCCCAAGAAGTCTCAGACACCCGCCATACGCCCGAAGACGGCCTAAAGAAGAGACCCCAAGATGCGGTCTGAACGCAGAAACAAAAACATGACATGGATGTTCAATCGTTCTTGCATGATGTGGTGAATACTCTGTTCTTCGGTCTTCTGGGCGTCCGAGACCGCCCAGGAGGCCTGAACATCTCCCTCAAAACTACATATCCAAAAGGGCTTCCAGCTTCCAGGCAAGTCCAAGAGAGCCCCAAGATGGCACAACAGGGTTCCTAGATGGCCCCCGTGACGGCTCAAAATGGTCCCAAGACGACCCCCGAAGCATTCCACATCGTGATCCGGTCGTTCAGCGAGACCGCGATTGGAAGCAGGGTGGCCCGAGGAAGCCCTCAGAGGCCCGCTGAAGGCGCGTAGGCGGCCTCCAGAAACCCACAAGAAGCCCTTTAAGAACGATCGTGAGGCCCCCAAGAGGCTCTCCGAGGAGGAGCCTCGGGAAAAAGAGCTGAGGGTTGGGAAGAATTCGCAGGGTAGGGCGACAATGAGGAAGCGGAAGCGGAAACTGAAACATGAGGGAGGGACAAGGAATAACACTATTATAACGGCGATGCTAGAGAAGGCATCAAGGAGCTATCACTGAATTGTCTGTTCTACCTTCCTGCCGATCCGCCTGCATGCCAAACTTCAATGACAAAGGTGCATGCCTCGAATTGCCAATGCAGTCTTGTGTATACATATATCTTCACACATTATATATATATGTATACACATTATATATATATATATATATGTATGCACGTGCATGTATAAAGTTGTTACATAGCACATGTACATATATATGTATATATTTTCATATATGCTCAAGAACTGCAGTGGCGCTTCGCGCCATGCACCTTGGTCCTTGAAGTTTGGTATGTATGCGGAGTGGCAGAAGGTCAAACCGACAATTTAGTGATACCTCCTTGTTGCCTGTTCGGGCATCGCCGTTATAGTAATGTTATGTGTTATCCTTCCTCCATGCTTCTTTTTCCTCATTCTCGATATACCCTGCGCATTCTCCCCATACTCGTCAGTTCTTTTTGCCGAGGCTCCTCCTTGGAGAGCCTCTAGGGGCCTCACACAAGTTTTTCAGGATTTCTTAAAGCCTTCTGGAGGCCTCCTGGGCGTGTTCTGTGGGCCTCTGGAGGCTTCCTCGGGCCACCCTGCCCCCAACCGCGGTCTCCCTGAACGACCGGATCACGATTTGGAATGCTTCGGAGGGTCTTAGGGCCATCTTGGGCCGCCATGTTGCTCTCTCAAGGCCATCTTGGACCCCTGCTGTGCCGTTATGGGGCTCTCTTGGACTGCCTGGAAGCCCTTTCGGATGGTTGTGGAGCGATTTTGGAGCCTCCCGGGCGGCTTTGGACGCCCAGAAGACCGCCGTCTTGGAGCGTCGGGAAGCCGAAAAGAGGAGAACCCCCAACTGCACCAAAACCCCACCGAAAATCAATGACTTTTGCCTCTTGGGGCCTTCTTGGGAGTGCTGTTGGAGGCCTCTTGGAACGTTTCGGAACGATCTTTGGGGGTATGACGGCTTCTTGGGGGTCGTCGTGGACCGTATTGGGGCTCGCTGGGGTCGTTTCGGGAGCGCGCCGGAACGCCTGAAACCTGTCTGGGACCGTCTTCGGGCTCTCGTGAGGTTCTCCCGAGCTGTCTGAAGGGTTGCCTGGAGGCCGGGGGAGGGCCAAATTGGTTAGGGAGGGGGGGGGGCGCTTTTTCTGGCGTCCCCAGCGCTACAAAAACATATGAAGAGAGCTATATATATATATATATATATATATATATATATATATATGTGTGTGTGTGTGTGCGTGTGTGTACATATATATATATATATATGTATCCATGTATACGCATACATATCATTAAAACAAATCCTGATAATGATAACGAAATATGAATAGAACAAATGATTCCAATTATAAACATGTAAAACAGCAAGTGCGGGCCCGTGAATTGACTCAACGGTGATGAATTGGCCGAGGTTTTGTGGCGCGGGCTGGGCTGTCCGAAGCTGCGATGAAGCCCCCGTTTCTCCGGGGGCGGCATGGAAGCCTGGTGGACAATCGTGGGAATATCTTCGATCTTCGACAGTCTTGGGCCTTCCCTCGGCCCTCTTGAGGGCGTCTTTGGCCGTCTTGGGGCCGTCCTGGTCCGCCTTGGGATGCCTTGGGGCCATATTGGGCCGACTCGGAGCTCTCTTGGGCCGCCTGGAGGCCCTCTGGGAGGCCTCTTGAGCCGTCCTTTAAACTCTCTAGCGGCCTGAGAACCAGGGGGGCCCTGCCAACCCGCTGAGGCAGCGGATGTACGACTGTACTCTATGTGTCAGTCACAATGCCCTGTGCCGAAACCGATACGGGCTGAAGCCGAAACGGACCGAAGCCGAAGAGGGCCGAAGCCGAAACGGACCTGAAGCCGAAACGGGCCCTTGTCCAAGACGGCCATTAGAGCCCAACGATGGCCCGAAAACAGTCCCAAGACGCGCCCGAAGATTCCTAATCGTGACCCGGTCGTTCAGGGAGACCGCGATTGGAAGCAGGGTGGCCCGAGGAAGCCCTGGATGCCCCCTGAAGGCGCCCAGGCGACCTCCATAAGGCCCCAAGAAGCTCTCAACAACTATCGTGAGGCCCCCAAGAGGCTCTCCAAAGAGGAACCTCCGCACAAGAGCATGGGGACAAAAAATCGCAGGGTTGGGCGAGAACGAGGAAAAGGGAAGAAGCATGAGGGAATGACAGTGAATAACATGATTGAAACGACGATATCGAAAAAGGCATCAAGGAGTTATCGCTAAATGTTCTGGTCTACCTTCCTGCCACTCCGCATGCATTCCAAATTTCAAGGACCAACATGCACGGCGCGAAGAGCAAGTGCAATATTGTATATACATAAAGGTAAACTGCATATAGGTGTATGTACGGTTTCGGTGTGCATCTAAACATGCATACTTTGCCTCTGGAAGCTCACATCGGCTGCATGCTGATCTTCAATTGCACGTCAATGTGCATGTCGATTTGCATTTCGATCTTAGTTTCGATGTGCCTGTCGATTTGCATGTCGATTGCAGCTTGATTGAAGGGGCCCTGGGACACACAAATACATACACACAAATAACCAGACTCCCCATATGTTCCCATATGTTCTGGGTTTCTGTCTTCCCCCCCACTTCCCATATCATCCCATATTTTCATGGGAATCGACGATGAACTGTGTCTGTGTGTTTTCTCTCCTCCTGATGACTTGCATTCCCCACGAGATAACCGCGGGACAACCCCGACACCGCGTGGCTGCACGGAGACACGCTGCTCCGTCTCCACCCAGCTGGGCGTAAGTCGTGCCTGTACCTCTAATTACTGGGGGATTTCCGACGAAACAAATACTCAAAAAACACTCCCAAATGGTAAACAAATACTCAAAAAAGAGTCACCAGACTATTTGTTGTCTATGTTTGAATATTCCCCCTGTGGAGGGACAGGCCCGACTTAAAGCTAGGCAAAAACATCGCCCCTCGCTGGCACGCAGCTTCGCCTCGCCTCGCACGCACGGCACGAACCGAGATCGAGACCGATGGCCCGCTCGGGGCCGCTCCGTTCTCGCCTCCCGACCTCCGACGTGTACGTACGCGGAGCGGAAAGGAGGAGGGGACGGGGGAAAGAGAGAGGGGCGGGGGGGAGGGAAGGAGAGGAGGGAGAGGGAGAAAGGGAGAGGAAGGGAAGGAGGGACGAGGAGGAGGGGACGAGGGAGAAAGGGACGGGGGAGGGACGGAGTGGAAGGCAGTCGAAAGGGAGAGGGGCGGGCAAGCAGAAGGCAAAGAGGCAGGCTGGAGGGAGCCAGGGGCAGGACATCTGGGAGTCCTGCCCGCACTGTCTTGGTATCGCGAGACAGGAGCAGCTGTGGCTGAGCAGAAGAAGGATTGAGAAGTCCAGTCGTACTCGTATGGAGCAGGTGTGACTGAGGAGGAGGAGGAGGAGGAGGAGGAGGAGGAGGACGATGAGGATGAGGATGAGGAGGAGGAGGAGAGAAAGGGTAATGAGCAGGGCAAGACAACACGCTCTTCATCCGATGAAGTTCGTCCGACAGGTAACCGCGCGCGAAGGGCAATGCTTGCGATGATCAAGGGGGGGAGAGAAAGGTCAGAACTGATAGGAAGGAAGCGCGCGCTAACGGAAACGTGTCCTGGTCTCCATCCTCCTCCTACCCCTCCTCTTCCAAATCCTCCTCCTCCTCCTCCTCCTCCTTGTGTTCGTCCTCGTCCTCCTCCTCGCCCTCCTCCTCCTCCTCCTTCTCCTCCTCCTCCTCCTCCTCCCGCTGCTTCCTCTCCTCCTCTCCTCCTCCTCCTCCTCCTCCTCCTCCCCTCCCCCTCCTCCTCCTCCTCCTCCTCTCCTCCTCCTCCTCCTCCTCCTCCTCCTCCTCCTCCTACTCTTCCCTCCCTCCTCCTCCTCCTCCTCCTCCTCCTCCTCCTCCTCCTCCTCCTCCTCCCCCTGGTCTCCAAGGCCTTCCCCCCAGACCAGCCCTGCGTCCCGAGCGGTGTCCTGGCGGCCCCAGCGGCCCGCGGAGGGCCCCGGCGGCCCGAAAAAGGGCGCGCAGAACTCAGGACCCGCCACCCTCATGGCGGCAGAGGGCGGGAGGGAGGGAGGGAGGGAGGGAGGGAGAAGGAGGGAAAAAGGGAGGAGGAGGAGGAGGAGGAGGAGGAGGAGGAGGAGGAGGAGTTTTAAACCCGCGTGCTCGTGCGCACGAGTGAATGCCCCTGGTCTCGGCACCTCGCCGAGCGCGCGGCGGCGCGCCCGAGGCGAGGTGGGCCAGCGGCCTCAGCGCGCGCCGCTTTTCTCTGGGGGAACCTACGGCGGGCCTTGCCGCCCCCAGCAGAAAAATGCAGATGCTAAGTCTTACGTCGCCTCGCAGCTCAGCCACAGGACGGTCCTCTGGCCGCCTCAGGTCGGCGCCCTTGCGCCGAGCGATGCCGCCACCTCCGCCCAAGCCTCCGCCTGCTCTGCAGGTCGGGACTCTGGAACGCCCTCGGCCGCCAGGTGGGCCCCCTGGCGCGAGACTTAGTGGTGCCCAAGACCACCCCCACAAGTCCCCTTGCCCAAGGGGGACCAGGTGGCACGCGCCATGAGCCTCCACCGACCTCCCTGGGTGCGGGGTGACCCGAGTGTTGAGACTGGCGCCCGGGCGGCGAACCTGGGCCGTTTAGCGAACAGCACCCACTACCCCCCCAACTAGGGGTAGATTTATGCAGGCTCAAGTTCCCCCAGGGCGCCGCGCGGGTGCTGCGCCAGCCCGCCGACCTCTGCCCTGGGGGCGGAGGAGGAGGAGGAGGAGGAGGAGGAGGAGGAGGAGGAGGAGGAGATGGGGGAAGGAGGAGGCGGAGGAGGAGGAGGCGGAGAAGGAGGAGGCAGAGGAGGGAGGGAGGAGGGAGGGAGGAGGGAGGAGGACGGCCTCCGAAGCGAGGCACCACTGCAGGGCAGCCGCCTTCGGCCTCCTGGGGGGGCGGCGGCGCGCCGCTCCAGCGGGCGGCCCGCGGGGGGGGGGGAGGGCAGGCCGGGAGGCGCCCCCGGGGGGAGGCGGGGCGGGAGCGCGGCCTCCGGCAGGGGGGGGGGGCGGGAGGACGAGCAGCGGGGGGGGGCCTCCTGTGCGGTGGCCCGGGACAGCCGCGAGGGCCGCCCGCATGCGGCATGTGCAAGTCGCTGTGTGTATGTATATATGTATATGTATATATACATACATATACATATACAGATACATTCATACCTACCTACCTACCTGCCAATGGGCCAACCTACCTACACGTATATATGCATTCATACATACATTCAGGCATACATGCGTTCAGATATACGTATATACATACATACATACATACATACATACATACATACAGACAGACAGACAGACAGACAGACAGACATGCATATATATGTACATACATACATATATACATACATACATACATACATACACACATACATGCATGACATGGCATGGCATGGCATGGCATGGCATGACATGACATGGCATGGCATAACATACATACATACACACATACATACATACACACATACAGACACACATACACATACACACATACACGCATACACACATACACACATACACACATACACATACACATACACATACACATACACACAAACATACGCATACACATACACATACAAACATACAAACATACAAACATACAAACATGCATACATACATACATACATACATACAAACATACATGCATACATACATACTTACATACATACTCACACATACATACATACATACATGCATACTCACATACATACACACATGTGTGCATATACACATACATGCATGCATACAAACATACCGGCATAGATCTGGAATTACATACATAAGCATGGATATAGTCATGTCCATGCTCATATACATGTACATCTACCCCTACATCTACATCTACCTATACATGTACATCTACATATACATCTACACATTCATATACATCGACATCTACACACATCTACATATGCATATGCTGGTGCATCTACATCTGCATACACATGCACATACACATATACACAAACATATACATGTATATAGACATGTACTCATACATGTACAAATACATCTACATATCCATATACATGTGTACATACATATACATGTACATGTACATGCACATATGCACATACATACACGTCTACATGCACGTATGCATACATGTACATATACATGTACATGTCTTACACATGCACATTCATACACATATACATGTACACATCTGGGTACACATATGTATCATCTGTATATACATATACTCTACCTATACATTTACATGTGCCGATCCAGATATACACATCGGTCTACACACATACACATACACATATACAAACGCATGCACAGACACACACGTTTGTATACTTCTACAAGTACACTTGCCTATACCACCACGTATAATCTACACACACGTATATCTTACATGTACACAGAAACTAAAAACGCCGTGGGCTAATAGTTTCTTTTCGGGCATGGCCCCTGTTCTTCGCGAAGTGCAACTGACGAACAGGCTCGCTTAATTAACTGGTCACGCAATTGAGGCGGCTATTGTATTTTCGGCCGCCGGAACAAAGTGGCGCAATCCATACCGTCAGCAACAGTGAGTGCTATTACCAGCAGCTGGGCAGACAACTGACGGCGCAAACGCTAGCTAGCAGGCAACATGCTGCTCGGCAGCCGACCGCGAACCGCGTGGCGCAGCCAGGTGCGCAGCCAGCGGCGCAACCACTCGCAGGCCGCTGCGTGCTCGGCGGCCGAGTGCGCCGCCCCCAGGGAGGAGGAGGAGGAGGAGGAGGAGGAGGAGGAGGAGGAGGAGGAGGAGGAGGGAGGAGAAGGCCGCGGCCGTTTTTCCCGCTGGGCCGCCGCGTGCGCCCCCCTCTCGCCGCGCGCGCAGCCCAGGGGGGGGGGCGCACGCGCCGCCCGGGCGGGCGCCGGCTGGCCCCGCGACGCTGCGGGCCCCCCGCGGGCCTCCCTCCTCCTCCTCCTCCTCCTCCTCCTCCTCCTCCTCCTCCTCCTCCTCCTCCCCCTCCCCCCCCCCTCCTCCTCCTCCTCCTCCTCCTCCTCCTCCTCCTCCTCCTCCTCCTCCTGGGCCGGCAGGAGGAGGATCCAGAGAAGCGCAGCGACATCTGGTCGCCCAGAAGACCAGCCAAGCGGCGCGCGGTCTGGGACGGATTCGCGCGAACGGAGCGTCCTCGCTCCGGTGTCCGGAGGCGTTCGGCCGTCTTCGAGGTCTCGGGAAGTTTTTCGACTGGGGGCGTGCTTCCTAGGAACCTCATGGGGTCGCTCTTGGGGACGGGGCTGCCAGGACATAAAGGTTCGGTCGCATTCGCAACACATGCCCCCCAACACGCAGAACACAACAAACGTGACACAGCCAACCGAACGTAGTCCTCCAGATCCAACAGGCAGACGAAGAAGCCAACGAACTTTTTGCATCCAGCAGGAGTGGGGCTGAAGATGAATACTCCGTCGTGGCATGTAGTCCCCTATCCCGACGGAGCGCTCCCCATTCCAGGACAACCGAAGGCGGCTTCCTCACAGGAGATGCCACCAAGGTCGACGCACATAGGGGATTGCGACGCAACGACGACATGCCAGCCGCACCCACTGCCGCCACACGTGTGAACACATAAGAGCACAGACCGGCCCACGCAGCCTCGGACTGAAGGACTGCCACGCTTGGCCACCAGGGTTATCAGAAAACTGTCACCTCTTCATCCCCTTCTTGCAAATTCAACGGACCGACGGTAATGATAAACGATCTTAATCAAGCGGAGTGTTAATGGTAAACGAGTGTGTCCTGTACCGCCGCCAAGCGGTTTTCATGTTGTTACTGACGCCAGCAGGTGCACAGTAGCGTGGGGGACCATGTTAAAGCCCCCCTTTTCAACCTACTGTTCCAAATCTGGTGAGCTGCGTGCGAATGTACATGCACTTGTATACCTGCAAATGGGCAAGGCGCGTAGACAACGCCCTAATCGACATATATAATATGCATACGAAGCGAAACAGCCGGTTAGTGCGCGCGTAGCACTCAGCGCAATACGCGATTGACACGTACTGACTTAAACGCTGTGCATGGCGTATATGACAGAACGGTACAGCAGGTGACCAGAAGCACGGCGGGAGCTCCGCTTTCTTTTTTATTTCCCACTCGTGCTCTGTCAAAACACTCGCTTGACATGACTGTGGTAAAAATGCGGCAAACCTGAGAGAGGGAAAATGTCGGAACATGTTCGATGGTTCGATGTCACTCGTGGCCTCCTTGCCCTGATGGAAACTGACCTCGGCCATTTGCCCATTCCTTCGCCCTCGCCCGCGTCGACGCGCGCAAACTCCTCCTCGCGACTACGCGTCCGGGTGAACGCGCGGTTCCGTGCGTCCGGCCCCGCGAAGCGATCATCGTTCCAAGCTCCATATTCCGCATCACTGTCGTACCGCTCGCCGACGGCGTGATCGCGGTCAGTCCAGGGGTTCTTCCAGGCAGACTGACCGTCATTCCCGTAAAGTCTGGCCAGTGCTTCCCAGGAAGGTCAAATCGAGGCGTCTTATGAGGTGCGCATCCCACCTCTAGTTAGGACCTTTTTCAGCTTCTGCTTGCACGCTAGTCCCGAGTGAGAGTTGACGACCCCAGACTGGCGAATGGCCCACAGGTGACGGTCATCCTGAAGGATCTGGGGCTGCCAAAGGATTTCTCTTCCAGGCGAAAGCCACAGCTAAGGGGATGCCAGTGAACCCGATCATCACCCTTCTGCTTGTGCACCTATCTGAAGAAATGTCCGCACACATGGTCGCGGACAGCCTTGCGCGGACCAAGGTGAGTTCAGGTGCGTCCACCAGATCGGTCTCGCAAGCGCGAGGCTTCCTGGCAATGGCGTCGAAGCCATTGTAAAGTGCATCCTGGTTGTCGGCAACGTCGATGAACTCCCGCGCCAGTTCACGGGTTAGAAACCGACCCGCAACCGCGCACGTTTGAGTGTCTCCATGATCATGCTTGATTGTTGGGTAACTGTAGTGCGCTTTGATGGTCAGCATGGCGGCGCTTCCTTGCCAGAAGATGTCAAACCAAGTCGCGGCCAGATTAACGCGGTTTCGCTCCTGGAGCTCGGGCATGTTGTCGATGTAGACCTGGGTTATGTCACCGCTGTTCCAATCGCGCACCGGGCGGGGGGCCCGGACAGCTGGGGCCAGGGTGACCATCCCAGTCGCTGGGGAGGCTGGCTTGAACGGCCGTCACCTGCCTCGCTCAGTCATCGTGCTCGCCCCTGCGGTGGCCCGTCAGCGCGCGGCGCCGCTCCGATAGGCCTTCGAAGTGAGACTGGGTCCACGCGCAGTAAACGCTGTCCTGGTAGCTGGCGCAATCGTCGCTGGTGACGAAATTGCCAAACGGGCTCCAGCTCACGCGCTGGGCGCGTGGCCAAATCATTGGCGCGGCGACCCGACCTCCTACTGATCGCCGCTGTTAGTGTCAGAGTCGGCGGCAAACGGCACTTGGGATCGCGGCGGGGTGATCGGGCGGCAGAACCAAGTCGCCCCGCACCGCGAAGAGGTGCCCCTGCGGCTTCGCCAGGAAGTCGGGGTTAGCAAACGAGTCTCGCGGCCCACTGGCGAGGGGGGCCCGAGAGGAAGGCGTCCCTGAGGGCGGCGAATCCGGCTCCGATGCGTCCACGGTCGTGTCCTTCTCCGTTCTCCCCTGGCACGTGCCTCCACTTTCTGTTGCGTCGCCCTCGCTCCCTGGCGCCCTGCCTGGCACTTCGGCACTTCCGTCGGCGAGCTCGGCAACTTCATCCGCTGCGCGGGATTGGCTGCGACCGACTCTGTCGGCAATGCCCCTGGCTCTCTTCGGCGCGCCCGCCCCTGGAAAGCAAGCAGAGCCAGGCGCGCGCGAGGCGGCCGGCGGGCGAGGCGCCGCTTCCTTGAGAGGCAACGTGCCACTTGGAGCCT